TCTTCAGGGAAATACAGTGAATATTTCCAAAGTTGTGACACATTCTTTGCTTACCTCTTTAATATGTCTAGATTTTACGTTTCAGATTGTCCCAGCATGTGGTAAAAAGCACCAACCAACCAAAAAAAAAACCAAACAAAAAACCCCCCCACAAACCCCGACAGTCCCTTGATGATATCCTATTAGTTCCAACTTTTCCACATCTCTGCTTTACCCTTGCTTGCTAGTGTTTAACAGTCAGTGAAGTGACCTTCCCAAGAGGATCCAAGAATGGTCAGGGCAAGATAAAGATAAACATTTTGCTTTCAGTGCAGTTTAAGAACCCCATCTCTGACTGCCCTAATGGATCACTAGTGTCTCCTGGAAGCAAACTTGACTGTTATTCCTGCCTCCTGTGAATTGCTTGATTCCAGTTTTAGCTTTTGTGACTTCCTGAGCACCAACTGCCATACAAGCTACATAACAATTCACTTTCAACCTTATAACATGTTTGGTTTTGTTACTGATATTGTGTAAACATACATTTGAAATTTGTTAGTCTTTTGTTTTATGCATTTGTGTTAATAATATTGCCACTATCATGTCACCCCAGGTGACTCACGTTTCCCCTCTTTGGCTTACCACCTCTAGCAAATTATTTTTCCACCTTTCCCTGTTAACATGCTCAAAGATTCCACCCCACAGCCAAGTAATTGAAATTAATCCATTCAGGAGCACTTCACAGCACCTATTCCCTCCTCTGTTCACACTTGAATCACTCCACAAGTACTGATTTATCCTAGTTCAGACTGGTTTATTTTCAAGCTTCTCCTTTGTTTTAACCACCGCTTTCTTTAGCTAGGCTCTTTTTGGAGAACACTGTGCCGATACCACTCCAGTGACACAGTTCTTGTCGGGACACTGCTAAAGAAGCTCTTGCCACTGCATATGGTCTGTGAGAGAGACCTGGACCACTGGCAAACCATAATTGCCAAGAGTGGAAAGTCCATTGTGATCTGGTGGAGCTACCCCTTGCCTGTTCCTGGGGAAGGTGGGAGCTTGAGGGAGCTTCCCTTGAACTACAAAATAATCTTTTGGAGGATAGATTTGCCTTCATTAGCAGTCTGTATGGGAGCTGTTAACATGACTCTTACTGCTATAGTGCAGTGTATCTTGGAGTATGTAGAATTCTTACCATATTTTATAGGGGAGTACCTTTGCCTTTATGCTGACACACCCTGTGGTTGCTGCAGTGGTGGTGGTTCTCTGCTTTCTGCTGCTCTTATTTATACCAGATAGACCCATGAGATGGTGAAGTTCTCCCCCGGGTATAGCTTACTAGCTTACTTCTTATCACACAAGGTTTTGACCATATTGATTGCTTATCTTATTGACTGAACATATAGGCTGGTCCCTCCCTCACCAAGCTTTATTTTATCCTTACATCCACTCTCCTCCCTCACCTCTACCATTACACACCCTCTCTTCCCACAAATTGCCTTATCTCCCATCCAACTCCTTTTCCTGTGCTCACTGCAACATTGTCTCTTCTCCTTTCAACAGAAAATGTACCTTCCCCTGCTCTTCAGTCTGTCATTGCTGACTATGTGTTGTGTCCTTGCTTACACAGATAGTTGGGTGGGGGAATCATCAACATATATTGGTAATCCCTAGCTGTCCAATCCATCCATACAAAAAAAAAAATACAGAGAGCCATCAAGATCCATGTATGTCATGCCAAAGCAACAGCTTTTTTTTAATAATCCATGCCCTCCCTTCTTCTGACACTTCCGTTGCTTAATTTAATCATTAGTGATCTTTAAACTTGGAGCTTGATCATGCAAGTGCTTATGCATGTAACTATACTATGTTTGCAAGATGGGGGCCTTAGATAGTAAGCTCTTCACGGGAGTGGCCTGTTATTTTTAAATGTCTGTAGAGCACAGCTGTGGCACTGCAGAAGTAATAATCATATTTAAGATATATTTATTACTTGGTTAACCTTGTGGTGAAGCTGGTGATGCATCAACAGAGTGTGGTTTATCCCTTTTTTATCAGTGAGGTAGGCATCTGTGTCAGGTGCTGTTTGTTTCATTTGACTCAATTGTTTCTTGTAGCAACACTTCTTTAGGACTCTGGGCAAAAAATAAGTATCAGTCCATCAGAAGCTACGTTAGAACAACATTAAAGGTTGTCCTGTAGTTTGGATAGCTGGATCTTACATTGGGATGAGGAAGGAGTTGCCTAAGTGGCAGTCCACAAAGGGATTCTGGCTCACCACCCAGAGTGCCTCAGAGAGATGAGGGGGATATGTGACAGAAGGGGAGCTGCAACACCATTTCAGATGGGTGCAGCATAAGGTCCTCCTTTGTTGACCTTTCTTTGCAGGCTGATGTATAAGGGAGTAGGCTTGAGGTCTTATTTCCTCTGGTTGTCAAGTGCACTGCCAGCACTAAACAGTCCTGGTTCTGGTATATGGCAGCTTGAGCCTGAAAGGTGCTCAGCATTCTGGCACTTATCCAGTAAAACACTTTAGCACCTGCATAGCTTAAAACCATGCATAGTTCCATTGATTTCAATTAAGGTAAATTACACGTTTCTCACCAGTATGTAATAGCATGCATTCTTTAAAAAGGCCCTATCTCAATAACAATTTTTACCATAAACCAATTAATTCAGTTGACATAATTGTGTTGGAAACTAAAGTCTCCTGATTCATTATTTGGGAGGTGAGAAATATTTTCAATTACATTTCAAAATGTCTGAGCTTTTTGTAATTTGTTTCCATTTTGTGAAAACCTGCCAGATTTTTATTGTTTGTTTATTTTCTGTTATTGCTTTTGCTCAAAAAATGAACCCCTAAGATTGGTCTAATTTTTTTAACAAAATACTCTGTTTTAAAGAGTGAAATTTCAATTTGATGAAGATCAGCTTTCATATGAAAATGTACAAGACATGACATTATAGAAAAAAATTAAATTGCAGTATGCAAAATTTTGCTGTCCAAAGATGGCTTGGAATCACATGAACATTTTTTCACAATTTTTTTTTCACAGCCCTATTTATAATATATAATTTACATGAATGCAAATTATTTTTTTAAGGAGGAAAGGGGGGAAACTTCTGTCTCTTGCATTTAGGAAATATTCTACTGGATTAAAAAAAGTGGAAATCTGGTTTTCATTTTTGACAAACCAGGTTTCTTTACACTGACCCTTGCTCTCTTATTTCAACATTAGTGAAATATAACTGTAATTGCTGACACATCTCTCCTTTTAAAAGAACTTATGAATGTTTTTCCCCTTGAATTAAATAAGCTTCAATTTTAATAACTTTCAAAATAATCATAAACTACAGAACAAAGAAAGTGAAATGACAAGCATTTATTTTTGCAACCTTGAACTGTGTAACTGTTTCTTGTACTGTGAATTGTACTTTTTTTTTTTTTTCTTTTGAGGTGTAAGTAAAAAAACTTAAATGAGCATTGGTGTGTGCTCTCCATGGGCTAACCGAATCAGACTCTAAACTTTTATCTGGATCTATGGAGCTTGGATATAAATTGAAAAGATCACAGCTATGGGGAGAAGACCTATACTGTAAAGGCCTTTCTGCATAGATTATGAACATCATAACTCAATAATTTTTTTTCAAAACTATAGTTATAATTGGACCCAATGGGGGTCTCTCTCTTTGATCAGATCACAGTAACTGTGACTTTACAGTGGAAAATGTCACTACTGTGAAGGTTTATCACCTGTAGAGCTGGTCTTTTCTCTGATGCCATGTTCAGTTCTCATTAGCATTATTCAAAGTTTAGTTGTTAATTAGGTTGACACTTCAATTACAATCATCATCTACAAGAACAGCCATGACTGCTTGCATAAAGAAACAAAAAGATATTCATTCTTGCATACATTTATAAAAGAATGAAACCTGTTTTGGTGATACTTTGTGCTTATAAGGGTAGCCTAAATGTTCTGTTTAAAGAGTAACCCGACTTAAAATAAATAATGCTTTGGACAGTATCTGATAACTTATGTATTGTTTTGCAAGGCACTTTGCAATAAAAATTAATATGGAAATACATCTTCGTAATAATTGGAATTGATTTTTTTCCTCCAACTGTCTGGTATTTGGCATCTTAAAACAAGGATGGAAGAACTGTTCTTATTAACTACATTCACACATCTTTCTTGTTTTTAGGAATATCAGAATAATTCCAAAATATATGATCTTCCTGATCTTCCTTAACAAAAGAATGGCCTTTTAATCTAACATTACTCATGCCTTCCAGAGTTGTACCATCAGAACTTGTTTACCACATAAAACAGGGTAGATCTTCAGAAATCAGATGCTGGAATTAATGTTTTTTTCTTAATGCAGGTGCCTCATCACTAATAAAAGGGTGTTATCCCCTCCCTTTTCCATCCCTTTCACCCCCCCTCCACCCCATTCAGCTGTTTTATTCCTTAGGACAATTCTAAAGACACTGCACTATTGAATTTATACGGGTTTTCCCCAACAAGCAAACAATAGTGGCAACTGCTCCCAGGATGCATGAAAAATGATGCATGCTAATAAGTTGGCCAACAAAAAATCTAAACTTGAGTGGTAAGTGAGCTTTAAGTGCCCTTAAAAATAACCCTCCACAGCATAAATGAAAGATGCCCAACTGGCTTCATCTCAGACAAGCAGACACATGTTATGATTGCAAAAAATCTGCAGAAAAGTGGCTCACAAGCAGTTTACTGTAAAATAATTAAAGCTTATTTATGTCAAGAGGCCTTGGGAAAAAAAAGAGAGCATAAACCAATTTACATTAGCACTTTACCATCATCCCCCGCTTTCGTTTCAATTAACAGACCAGCAGGTGCTCTTTGCAGTTAAAAAGATAAGCTATCAAGGAGGAGGATGAATTTTTGGCTGACCTGTAGACACTGTGGTTTGCCTGCTGATTGGGTTCATACCTTGCTGTACCAATTTCTGAGGTGTTAATTTAACTGTTCCTCTCTGTCATGCAGGTCTCAGCCTTGAAAAATAAACTGAAGAAGCAGTCTACAGCTACGGGTGATGGAGTAGCTAGGGCCTTCCTTAGGACACAGGCAGCATTGTTTGGATCCTACAGAGATGCACTAAGATACAAACCTGTAAGGCTTTTTATTATTTTAATTTGTTTTCTTTTATTCATAAGAACAGAAACTCATTATTTTACTGTCTGCAAGAAAAGTACTAAAGTCTTATCACAATCTTAAGGGTTTCAAAAAACAAAATGCCCTAAACGTTATCTTAAACTTGGTAATAAGCTGGTATTCTAGAAGTTGGGTACACGTGCTTCTTTGACTTTTGAACCTTGAGCATCTGAACAATCTGTGTTTTACTTCCAGTAGGTACTTGCCCACCAGAAAACTACTTTCCCTTTGTCTCAGTCATAGAAACTAAAAATGGAGCTCTAATAAAGAAACTACTTGTATGGCTCACTTAGGATTAGTGATGGACTGCAGGAACTGACAAGGTTGGGGAAGGGACTGACTAATTTGGAGGTTGGTCATTTTCTCTACTTAGAATCCCCCAAAAGTGGGATGTGGTGGAAGCCAAGAATCTTTTACTACCTCCTAGCAAAGGTTTGGAATCATCTAGTGGAACTGTTTTTGGTTTGGCTGTGTCAGGAAGCAGGGCCTGCAGCAGAGCCAGTCTCCAAGCAACCTAACGACCACAGCTGGCCTGTAGTAGACTGCCTGATTGGCTACACTGACTGATTGGTTAGAAGAGGCAGCAGACCAGCTCTTTAAGCCCTGCTGCAGAAGCCCTTCAACAGTTGCTCAAAATATTTGCCATTGGCTGTGTTAGCGCCTGTGCCTGCCAATAGTCCCAGCTTTGTGCTTGCCTTGCCTCACTTCAGATAACCTGCTCCTGATTCTTGGCTTCAGTTCCTGATTTCTGACTCTCTTCTCTGGCATCAGGTCTCTGATTCTGTCTTTGACACCGGGCTCCAATTCCTGACTACCAACTCCTGCTCTAAGCACTGAGCCTGACTCCTGCTCTAACCACTCGGTACAACCGCCCATGCCCTGATCACTGACAGGCTGTTTGGTGAATCCAGCATGCTCATGACCTGTGACATTCCTACTTTGATATCAGTAATAGGGCAGGAAGGGATGAAAGCCCGGTCTGTCTTAGCAAAATTTCAGAATATGTGTGTTTCTGAGGTTCAGTTGGTGCTTTGTAGACTGGAGCTAGCATGGATCTTTGTCTTTTCTGTTTTGTTAATGCTAGTGGAGTAATGCTGAGCCTATTGCTGACAGATGTGGTTAATGCCTATCAAAAGGTGGCACTTTCACAGCTGCAAATAGATGTTCAGAGAAGCAGCCTACTTAAAATACTTTCCTCTAACACTGACTTATTTGCAAACTACTGAGTGGTCTCTAATCTCCGTTTGGGGAAGGATAGTGAGATTATGTTGGTTTGGTAACTCCAGTATATCATGATCTGATATTTCTGACACTTTTGTTTAAATTCTGACTGCCTGATGTCCTGGATTCAGCTCTAGTTAACAGAATTGTTGGTGATCTTATGATAGACATGAGGGATCTGTCATTTGAAATCTGTCAACCTGTGATTCAGATGATCACTAGATGTAAGTGGGTAGGCTGTGGTTCCTGATAGTAATTGGCAGAATTGTTTGTGATCTCTAATTACACTCATTCTGGGATGAGAGATACACCTCTACCTCGATATAACGCTGTCCTCGGGAGCCAAAAAATCTTACCGCATTATAGGTGAAACCGCGTTATATCAAACTTGCTTTGATCCACCGGAGTGCGCAGCCCCCCCCCGAGCACTGCTTTACCACATTATATCAGAATTCCTGTTATATCAGGTCGCGTTATATCGGGGTAGAGGTTTATCAGAAAGTAGTAATGGGTGCCTTCTTGTTGCCCAAGACTCTCTTTTACAGGCTGCCTTGTTTACTGTTGACCTTTTTCGTACTGATCCCTCACTATCATTCTGACTGGCAGAGACAAGGCAAATGAGGGAATATCTTTTATTGGACCAAATTCTGTTGGTGAGAGAGACAAGCTTTCAAGCCACACAGAGCTCTTCTTCAGGTCTGCTGTGTGGCTTGAAAGCTCTCTCACCAACAGATGTTGGTCCACTAAAAGATATTACCTCACTCATCTTGTCTCTCTACTATCCTGGGACTAACATAACTACAACTACACTGTATTCTGACTGGCAGGCGTTTTTCTTTAGATGAAAGACAACTAACTAAGTTGACCCATATAAGATTGAAATGGTGTATCAGGGATAAGCAACTGAGATAAGCAATTTTAAGGAATGTGTGAATGTGCTATTTTTTGTACGTTGGTGGCCTATAGCAACTACAGAATTTTAGATTTAAAATAATTGCTATTTGACCCGAAAGTCCATGTTGCAATAGTATCCAAAATGGCTATGCAAAATTTCAAGATCTGTAGAATCCAGTGCAGGACTCGACTTATGAGTGCATTTCAGACACCCAATCTTCTTCTTTCCCTGGAAGTTCTCCCCATTACAGACCTTCACAGTTATTCTTACTTTTGCTGTCTCCATAATAGACTGTTGTAATTTGTTCCAAATGAGATCTATATGAAATTGATTTGGAAGCTGCAGCCGTTGCAGAATGGGGTTGCCCATCTGCTCATTGCTATAAGAATGAGGGAGCCTTCAGTGTTGATTCTCTGCAGTTTGCATTGACTGTTGGTGCACAAACAAGTTAATTTCAGTGTCTTAATCTACATCTAATATATGTGAACAAGAAAGTGTTGTTGAGGTAGAGCAGACTCTCCTTACATTCTGACCTGATGTTTGATCTGGAAATGACCAAGGAACAGGTCCTTTTTGGTTCAGTAAGTCTGCTGGAGTTCATCTATAACTATCTTCAAGGTGCTGCACGAGGTCTCCTTGTTCAGCTCAACTTCCCTTTTAACAACTTCTTTTCTTTTTACTTGGGTAATATTAAAAAGTCACCATTTTTCATCAATTGCTCCATTCCGATTTGAGAAACCCATGTTTTCCATTGTACTGATAATAATATGAAATTGTAATACAAGTTGGCAAATATTTTTTAATAATAACCTATGTAGCTCCTCCTTTCAGGATTATTTGCTTTTGCCCTCCCTCTGCCTCCCCTCCTTTTTTTTTTTACTCCAGCGGTCATATATAAGAGAAATTTATATGTGGACTCACTATGGGAAAGGGTCTAATTAGGGCACCATTTTGGAATTTCTCAGCCTGCTGGCCATTGTCAGCCTGTCTTAGATTGGAAGATACCAGTCAAAAATGGAAAATATAACTTAAGAAAAGAAATAGCTAGTATATTTAAAACTTAACATTATTTCAAGTGATAATATTCAATGTCAATTGCTTTTCATATTGTTTTAACTAATATAGGTTCCACCATGCCCAGAAGCTATTTTTCCTTGGAGATAAATCTGAACTCTTCTAAATTGCTATATAAAATAGAAATGTAGTACACAATATTTGTTTATGAAATTCATATATTATTTCTTTAGACTTCTGATTTACAGGATTCTTAGTGTGCTGTTACAGTTTTATCTCTGGGTTACCAGTTTGAACTTTGTCCAGGTTAATAGTTACTGAGAGTTGTTGTCTAATGACTGATCAAAGACCTACATGAAATGAGTTGGTTTCAGTTCAGTACCTAGTGGATGTGGATCTATATCACAAAAAAACCTCATCACAGTTAATTGGCACCATTTGGGAGTATTCTCAGAAGAGATGTGTCCTGTACTGAATGGGTATAGAGAATTTACTCTCTCTCATGCCAGAAACCATAGTGATGGGTGCAGTATGAAAACTCAAATAAGAGTCACAGACTGTATCTACTTTCATATTGGGCTTCATATAATGTTTCACATTGGCATTTTAAAGGGATATACTCAAATGAGAAGATTCACTCTATAATTTTAAAATAATTATAATGATATAAATAAGTTGACCATATTTTCAGAATCAAAACCTGGACTGCTTTTGTGGCACCATTTTTATGGTCACAAAACAGCCATACAAAAGTACACTTTTTTAATTGTATGTTGGGGTTACTACTGTTTGCTTTTGACCAGGGCTGGCTCCAGGCACCAGCTTGGCAAGCAGGTGCTTGGGGCGGTCCCTCCGGAGAGGGGCGGCAGATCCAGCTATTCGGCAGCAATTCAGCGGACGGACCCTCACTCCCGCTCGGAGCGAAGGACCTTCTGCCGAATTGCCGCCGCAGATCGTGATCGCGGCTTTTTTTTTGCCTGCTTGGGGCTGCCAAAACCCTGGAGCCGGCCCTGCTTTTGACTCAAAAGCATATTTTTCAGTTTGGTGGATTTTTTTCCAGTACCCTAATGCATTGAATGAGTTTAACTTGAAACATGAAATATTCACTTTGGGTAAAAGAACAGCTTTGTTAGTGTTTGCGCTCATTCAACTTTCCCGTTAACTCCAAACACTGTTCTTCACAGTAAACACTTATTTCATGGGACTGTTTGTTTCTAGTAAACACAGAACAAATTTTCCTCAGCATAACAGTATGTCTTGAACATACATACACCTCTACCCCGATATAACGTGACCCGATATAACACAAATTCTGATATAACGCGGTAAAGCAGCGCTCTGGGGGGGCGGGGCTGCGCACTCCAGCGGATCAAAGCAAGTTCGATATAACGCAGTTTCACCTATAACGCGGTAAGATATTTTGGCTCCCGAGGACAGCGTTATATCGAGGTAGAGGTGTATTAAAAAATATGATTGATGAAATGGAAAAGTGGAATACGGAAAGAAGTTCTGGGACACCAGCACATCATATGAAAACTTGGGACTATCCCATTAAAGGCAGGACATCTATAAAGGTGACAGTTCATATCATTTGTAAAGAATAATAGTAAGAAATACAGTCTTGCTCATAAAAGTTTAGTTTGGTGTTATTCCCCTGTAAAAGCAATAATAATCGATTGCTCTCACTTAATACAGTACTACAACAAACTAATATAAAACAATCAAGTTGATACTGCTTCCAAACGTTGGTAATTTCAGTAATTGTAAAAAGACAGACAGACAGACTCTCTCTGTCTGTTTCTTTCTATGTGTAACCCTACAATTGTAA